TATTTTAAACCAAATACACAATATTGCAGCAAAAACAGACATATCAGTGTAACGAAGTCAATTTTTCCTCAATCGGTTTATTTGAATTTATCATATTAATAAATAATAAGCGCGCTCGAGCTGCTTGTCTTAGGCGTCGGAACAGCTGCGCATCGCCGATCGAAATATCGATGCGCGGTAGTACTGTTGGTAGAGTGGGAATTACTCTCGCTTTCGTCGCGAATTAAAAGGATTTAGAGACCCACTTGATTTCAGCCAGTTAAAAGTTAAAGCCGCATTTTCAATTAGGTCCGCCATCGATAAATTTTTCGTATCGTGCTTATAAATTCGTTAGGTAAAAAACCTTGTTTTAGTTTTTTTATAGAAGAAACGTTTTATATTGAGATCGCATTTAGTTTAAAAACCATCTTAATTCATTGTTGAGTTAAAAGATATAATTTGATTTCATTAATAAATATTAGAATTTAGTTATTTAAAAATAGAATACCGTTTTTCAAGATATTGTTGTGAAAAAGATTTAATTTGATTTAATTTATAAATATTAGAAGTTAGTTCTTTAAAAATAGAATACCGTTTTTCAAGATATTGTTGTGAGAAATATTTAATTATATTTAATAAATAAATATTAGAATCAGTGGCGGCTTGTGGTAATTTTAAATGGGTGTTCACTTTTTCCAATAATTTTATCATTTGTAAGTTCGGATCAAAACTTTGTACAAGAGTCAATATCGCTGTTTTTTTTATTATTTGAGTTTGTATTAAGTGTAGTTATTATTATCAATATCATACTGTTTTCAAACACTACAACTATTAATAAATGAATATTTTAGTTAGTGTAATATTTGTTTTGTTTTTAATACGTTGAAAACCATCTAAAAACATTATTAGTTAGTAAACTGACTTTTCTTCATAATTTGAGATTATTTTTAAATATATATCAGGTTATGTAGAAAGGTTGACATTGATTTTTGTGTAAAAAATTTAATATGAAACTTTACCTACCATTTTTTAGTTTTTATTGTAAGTTTAATCATTTTCACAATTTGTAAAGGATGTCAAATAAAAAACATATTTTTTAAATACCTTTTATTGGCAAATAAAATAAGAACTAAAATGTTTTAAATGTTTATTTTATAAGATCAGTCTCATCACAATACATAATATTACACAGACACAAACTAGAATGAAAATATATAATGCCTGGCATTCTAAATGATACTCTTCGCAGTTTAACAGAGCCCCTTCCTTAATCCCCATTTTCAGACAGATTGTTTTCACAATCAATAGGCCTCAACTCCTTATAGAGCTTGATTTTTACTAAAAATTTCATGTTTATATCGCTTTTTTTTTATTTCAACCCCCCTTAAATCCCCCATATATAATCAGATTTTTTTATGATTAAAGGGCTTCTTCTCCTTTTAGAGATTAATGTTTGCTAAAAATTTCAAGTTTATATCATTTTTCGTTTTTCAGTTAGGATTTTTTTTATATTTTAACCTCCCTTAACTCCCCAATATATTCATAGTTTTTTTAGTATCAATAGGCTTTATCTTCTTATAAAGCTTAATTTTCACTAAAAATTTCATGTTGATATCGCTTTTCGTTTTTAACTTAGAATTTTTTTTTTAATTTCAATCCATCTTAACCCCCAATTTTTAATCAGATTTGTTAAAAATCAATAGGCTTTGTTCCCTTATAAAGCTTGATTTTTGCTTAAAATTTAAAAAAAAATCGTTTTTGCCTTATCGTGCAGACAAAAAACATGACATCGGTCAGACAGACAAAGTAAACCTATAATACTCTTCACAAAATACTGTATGAAGAGTAGAAAAAAAATGTATGAGGTAAAATAAACAATTTAAAAAGGTCAACAATAATATTCAACTTCTTTTATCAAAGGATACTAAAAGTTTGAAATAGCAGCACATAATTTAACATAGAAATCTGTGAACTAAACTAGTGAGATACATATCGTAAAATGTTATCACACTTAATTCTCCATATTTGACCTTTTTTAAGTGTATTTCACAGCACATTCCAAAGTATTCTTGCACTTACTAATGTCCTACCCTCATGGCTACTTTTGCATGTCCAACTTTACTAAAAAATAATGTGTTTTAATAAATAGAATAATAGTAATTTTGTTTAAATAGGTAAATCGGCTTCATCTGTATTTTCAAATTATTGTTTAATTGTAGATAATATATTAATGTTTTGATATGTACTTATAGGATTAATAAGCCAGAGCATGTAGATATGTGGGATGTGACTTGTTAAGTGCCTAATCAAAATCACAATTTGTTTGATACTTATTTCGAGACTTTTTCGAGACATTCTTTATTACCAACTGTAAACTAATTTACCAATAGCCTTATTTTTATTTAGTACCTGTAGTGATTCAAATTACCATAACATCTAATATTTTTTTAAATATTAAATTATACAAACAAGGCAATAAAAAAATGTCATTTAAATAAAAAAATTCTGGTTTGTATGCAACAAACGATCTTGGTTAGAGGGTAACACGATTGATAATTGCAGGCAAATATAACTTTATATAGGTAAACCATTTAAATGTACATACCATTTCTTAGGTAAAATTTCTCGAGTATATTAAATTAACTGGTTAATTCATTTTTCCGATTCAGACTTTTAAAGTGAAAACCCATTTGTCTCTTTATCATTATTAAATTTTTATTGTACATTTCCATTTCCATAACGATGTCAAGTAGTTACCTCATCAAAATAATAATTTTTTTCCTTTTAGTGGATTTTGTGGGATAAAAAATAACAATTTTTTTGCTTACTTCTTACTTCATAGTATTTACAATTGGGTACAAAATAGACCATTTTTGAATTAGTCTTTGGATGATCTGAAACAAAATATAAAACAAATTACAGTCGTAAATCTTTATTATATGTAAACAACATAATAGTAGAGATTAAACGCTAAGAAATTCCTTCTAAAAACGATTTTCGTTTGCACTTCATTGCTAAAATGTAATACCTATTTTATATCATTCCTTACACCATAAGAAAGCAAAATCGCCTGGTCGTCAAAAAATCGTAGTGTGCAGGGGGTAGTTAGGGGTGGTTTTCCAAAAAATAGCATTTATTTTTTTTTATTTAATTTACATCTGCACAATATTTTTAATCATCTGCAAAAGTTTTATTTCAAAATTCCAAGAGAAAGTATTTTATTTTTAATTTTAAAATATCTGCCCAACACGCTCTTATATGGAGTTCCTTAATATAAAACGGCTCGCGCTGAAACATCAAAAATGCAATATCATTTACACCGTGAAAACTTAAGAATGAACATTCTAATCAAAAAAAGACGTTCTATAAAAGTTTTAGAACAAGGATCAAGGATTAAAATGCTTTTTTTAAATCAAAAATCTAATAAGTATTTTCTTCAAAAAACTGTAAAATGTAAAAGCATGTCGTGACAACCGCACTCTGATATGGAGCTGCCGGGATGGATGAAATTCGCTTGGCACGCTGTTGTATCTCTATGTAAAGCCGTCCGTATGTGTTTTCGAGTCTAGATGGATGCTTTTCGTTTAAAACAGTACCTACTTAGAGGGTGCATGTGTGCTCCATTACCATTACAGCATATTTCAAATGAGTAAAGTGTTGATGTTTTTGTGTTGTTACGTTGTGGTTCTCAACTTTTAGTTACATTAAGTATCCCTGTTAACTGTTTTTCAGAATTATTCGAAAATTATAATATTTAAGCTGCTATTTCATTTTATTGATAAATACAGGTAAGTTCCTACATATACTATTTGTAATGCGCAGTAGTAATATATAGTAGGATATATAAAAAAATATTTGGGACAATAGCAGTTTCGCTAAAAAACAAAATCCCAAGTGTCTTATTTAATGTTTGTGACTGAAATTTAAAAAAAAATGTGTCGATTATTGATTTTATTTGGATGCTTATAAAATATTATCTATATAAATATTGTCTCTTTTTCGTACAGAATTTTTTAAATTTATGCTTATTTTACAATACATATAAGTATTATTATGTAAGTTTTTTTATATACTTTTTTAATGCACCCCATTTTTGATGAAGAAAGGTAAATTGACATGTAATATTTTTCTAGAAACACGACACGATGGATTTAATAAGCAGTACTAGTTCCGAAAGTGAACTAGAGTCGAAAATCAAATTAAAACCTTTTAAAAAAGAAATTGTCAGAAATGAAAGTAGAAATATTAATTACCAGCTGTGTGTTTTCTGTCAAAAAAGCGGAAAATTGTTTGAATCTCAGGAAAAATCTCAACAGAAATTTATTGAATGTACGAAGGTCCGTATGAACATTAGTCAAAGCAACGACCCTGCATTAAAACATATTTTTTTAAATCTAAATAATTTAAAGGATCAAAAAAGCTTAAAATGGCACAAAACTTGCTACAAATCTTTTACAAGTTCCCAAAATATTGCATCATACAAATTAAAGTGTGCAAAGTTAACTACCAATATACAATTGGTAGATACTCCCCAAAAACCTAATTTGCGTACAAACCAATTTGATATACAGAAGTGCATCTTTTGTCAAAGACGTCTAAGGAACCAAAAATTATGTCAAGTAATGACCACAAACATGGAACAGAAGATTAAAAATATATCGCGAAGGAACGCATTATTTTATAGCAGGATCGGTGAAAATGATTTAATTGCATCTGAAATTAAATATCACGCCTCCTGTCTTTCTACAGAAATACGAAATACAGAAAAAAAGTCTGGCCAAAGCAGTGCAAGTGGTAAACGAAAATTCGACAAGGAAGACGAACATTTACAACAGTTATTTAACGAAATGGGGCGAGGATTTGAAAAAGGAAAAGGATATTCAACAACTACTGTGAGTCAAAGATATCTAGAAATTTAAGGAAAAATCAGTTTAAGCGACAGAACTTTAATTAAAAAAATTCATGATTATTTTGGCAATGATATAGAATTAGTTTCGTCACCAAGAAAAAATGAACCAAGAATGTTTTTGAAAAGATTTTCAAAAGAACAAGCTATTGATACAATAGCCCAGTACACTGAAACTAAATTTTCAAAAATATCTTTTGGTACTTCTGAAATACAAAGTTTAACTAAAATTTGCCAAGATATTAAAATAGAAATAAATAACATACCAAAAAATACAGATTTCAAAAACTTAAAAATTAGCGATTACAAAAAGAATATTCCACAAAATTTGTATTTTCTTATTAATCTTCTTGTGTGCAACGATTCTAGCGGTGATACGAAAGAAACTAATGTGCTTAACATTTGTCAAGACATTATTTTTGCAAATTCTGATGGAAAAAAATATACACCCAAACATATTGGTCTAGGATTATTAGTTCACCAGGAAACAAGGTCAAAAAAACTTGTTGAAACACTACATACTTGCGGTCATTCTATCTCGTACACTGATACGTTAAGGGTACGTAACAGCATTGCTCAGGAAGAGATAAACCTCTATTTGCAAAATGACAGAGTAACAATTCCCAGACAACTAGTTCCTAATAGATTTGTCCAATTCGCTGCCGATAATATTGACATCCTTGAAGAAACTTTAGACAAGGCACCCACATTTCATGGGACTCAAATGGCTGCATTTCAAAGAGGCCCAATTCTGAAGGTAATACCTGGAAATTTCGAATTTTTGCCATATCATGTAAAACCAAATATTCCTCAGTACTTTCATTCACTTGAAAAGTCTTGGTTTGATAAAAGTAAAAAGAAGGTACAAAGTGAAGACAATCCGTCTATTATTATGGAAAACGAAAATCTTAGCTACAAACAAAAATACCAAACCATTGCTTGGTGTATTTCTAGAATGAATGACGCTGAGAACGAAGAAATGGTTATTCCTCAGTGGTCAGGATTTCATAAATTAATTTTTAAAAATAATTCCAATGTAACGACTTATGGATATCTACCTTTATTGCCACACGTTTCCTCAGAATATGATACAGTTTGGACAGTTATTATAAGATGTCGTCAAATTGCAGAAAAGCTAAATAATACGCATACAGTTATAACATTTGATCAAGCAATTTATTATAAAGCGAAAGAGTTACAATGGCATAATCCAGAGGACACAAAAGACGTGATAATCCGTCTAGGAGGATTTCATATTACAATGAATTTCATAAAAGCCATTGGACAGTTTATGTCACATTCAGGTCTAGCTGATGTCTGGATTGAAAGTGGACTATACGGCCAGTCTACTGTAGATGGAATTTTATCTGGAAAAAAGTATAACAAAGCAATTCGAGCACATAAATTAACCTACGAAAGTCTTATGAGAATACTTATCCCTCTTTTTACCACATGGCTTATTGAGTGCAAGAGTCCGTCTATACATTCATTAAATCTAATTCATCTTTGCACAGCAGAAATTCGTGACCATTTGAAGACTAAAAGAGATGCGTTGCCAAGCTTTTTAAAAATATCTAGTTTAACTGATGAATTATTTACAGACTTTCAGAAGTTTATGGAGACACAAACAGCTACCACTAAATACTGGTATACGTACTTAAATTTGGTAGAAATTTTGCTAGAATTCCAGTTTGCTGAAAGAAGTGGTAATTGGGAACTACATTTAAATGCTTTCAAGAAAATGCTTCCGTTCTTCTTTGCCTTGGATCACATCAACTATTCTAGATGGGGAACAGTATATTTGTTAGATATGTATAAACTTCGCAACACAGCACCAAAAGTTTATGAAGAGTTCATGGATGGAAATTTTGTTGTAAAACGACTAAGTGGAAATTTTAATCAACTTTCTGTAGATCAAGCACTGGAACATATCAATAAAAATTCCAAAGATGCAGGAGGCATAGTCGGATTAACTAAAAATAGTAGTAAATTGGATGAATGGTTTTTAAGTTACAATGTTGTGGGAATGATGATAGATGAATTTCGATATTCCTTAAACAGTTTTATTAATGTATCTAGCCAAAACGTGGAATGTGGCAATAAACGAATGAAAGTTGACGAACAATCTGTTCAGAAGTTATTAAGTGAATTTTTAAGATTTAATGTGTTTTCCAAAAGCGATGATCGCCTTTTAGTTATCTCAACTAATGAAGTTGCATCTGATACTGTCCAAACTTCTTTATTAAATGTGAATAAAATTGGCGAACAAGCTTTAAGAAAATTTTTAGAAGTAGTTGGTACTCCTGACTTTTATAAACCAATAAAAAAAAATATTCTTCAAACACTACAGCGCACTGGCGTTAAAATAGCTGCCGTTGATAAGAAAAAAACTTTCCAAAAAGGTCAAGAATTTTTGCAGAAAATATTGGCAGCAAAAGAAATGGGAAGAAATATTGAGTATGAAGATATTTTTAAACATGAATTGACGACATATCCAATGTCACTGGCACCTACAGGAATATTAGCTACCCCTTCAAACAAGTCTAACTTGGGAAACATTATAGAAAAATTTACTAGAAGTTGCAAAGATTTACCATCGGGAAATTGTGGTAAAACCTGCCACGTATTCGATGGAATGGCATTAATACAGGGACTTGGCAAACCTACTAACGCCAAATCGTTTGGAGAATATGCAAACATCTTAAAGGCCATTGTATTTAAGAATAAATACAATGCCGAAAGAATTGATTTTGTCCTGGACCATTACGAAGATTTGTCGATAAAGAATTGCACAAGAGAGAAGAGGGGACATAAAAATGACGCCATAGAGAGAGCCATTGAAAGCTCAGACACATTATTACCTCAACAGTGGCATTTATTTATCCATTCTATTGCTAATAAAATGCAACTTGCCAACTTCGTAGGTAATCAGTTGTATGAATATTCTCTTAATTTCGGAGTTAAATTTGTCACCAGCGGAGGATTTCTTGATGTTCTGCAGTATAAAGCAAACTATGATTTAGAAACTGACTTGTTAATTGCGAGACACGAAGAGGCAGACACAAGAATTATGTTACATATATTGTCTGCTAAAATGGAAGGATATACAAGATGTATATTGGATTGTAAGGACACAGATGTTTTATTACTATTGGCCCATTTCAAAGATATACTGACGCCGGAAATTTGGATAAAGGTTGGAACCAAAGAAACCAAAAGATTTATAGCAATCCATGAATTGAAAATGGATAATTCAATGACAAAATGTCTACCAGCGTTTCATGCACTGACAGGTTGTGATACAACCAGTCAATTTGTAGGAATGGGCAAAAAAAGATGCTGGAAAGTATTTTTATCACACCACAATTTACTTAGTAATGTTGGCATAAGTGATAATTTAGAAGAAGAAGATTTTAATAAAATAGTTAAGTTTGTAATGCGATTTTATTCAAATAACGAAAATATCCATTGTATAAACAACCTTAGAGGGATTTTAGCGTCCTCAAAGCCGATCAGCAAATTACCTCCAACTTTAGATACTTTAAAACAGCATTGTCTTCGTGTGCACTACCAGACTAAAATATGGCTGGACAGTACGATACCCAGACCATCTTTACCAGAAGTATCAGAGTGTGGCTGGAAAATTGATAATGGAAAACTGGTACCAATTTTAAGTAGAGAATCAATACTACCTGAGGACACTTCTGCTTTAAATACTTGCAATTGTAAAAAAGGTAAATTATTTATTATTATTATTAGTATATTATTAATTTAAAAATTTTTCCTAGATTGCAACGGGCCACAATGTTCCTGCAAGAAAAAACAAATTTGTTGCATTGGGTCCTGCAATTGTATGGCTCAAATTACATGTGCAAATAAAGACCTAAAAAACACAAAAGCTTCCCAGAATATATTATCTGAGAGTGAAGAAAATTCCGAGTCTGACTAAATGCTGTAAGCTAATTTTATAAGAATATTAATAAATTATTTATTTATTCATTTATTGATTTATTCACAGTAATAGAAGATTCTACTACGGAACACCGACTCCAGCACCAATAATATGCCTAGTCACACGTTATTATCAAATACTGTATTAAAAAGGTTGAATGTTAATTATAAAAGAAGTATTAGGTAAAGTATCCTATCTTCCGACTATTTTAACGCGAATTTTAGCAGAAATGTATAAATTATTGTTACCAGCAATACTTATTAATAAAAGGATTTTTAAATTGATTATATTTGTGTTTTGTAAATATCTAACTTTTATTAATTTATTTAACATAACTTTTAAAAAATATTTAAAAATACTCAAAATTATAAACTGAAAACCACTATAATATTCTTATGATGTATCTTTGATTATCACACCGTTACGCCTCGCTATAGTAACAATATAGGTACTTTCTGCTGCTTTAAACGAAAAACCACTTACGAGGCTCAAAAATACATACGGACGACTGTACCATCTAGATACAACAGCGTGCCAAGAGAATTTCAACCATCCCCGCATCTCCGCGTCAGAGAGCGGTCGTCAGGACAAGCTCTTACATTTTACAGTTTTTTGACGAAACCATTTATTAGATTTTTAATTTCTAAAAAGTATTTTAATCCTTGATCTTTGCTCTACAACGTTTATTAAAAGTGTTTTTTGATTAGAATTTTCATTTTTGAGTTTTCACGGTGTAAATGATATTGCCATTTTGATGTTTCAGCGCGAGCCATTTAATATTAAGGAACTCCATATAAGAGCGTGTTGGGCAGGTAATTTAAAATTAAAAATAAAATACTTTCTCTTGGAATTTTGAAACAAAACTTTTGCAGATGATTAAAAATGGCGTGTAGATGTAAATTAAGCAAAAAAAAAATTTTGATATTTTTTGGAAAACCACCCCTAACTACCCCCTGCACACTACGATTTTTTGACGACCAGGCGATTTTGCGTTCTTATGGTGTAAGGAATGATATAAAATAGGTAATACATTTTAGCAATGAAGTGTAAACGGAATGACACGATAGAATCATTTTTAAACTCTACTATAACCTTAAAAAGTTTTTATTTACCTTTCCTTTTTCGGGAACAATCGTTAAATTGACATACATCCTTCCAATTTATTAAAGTTGCAGTTCTCAATTAAACACATTTTTTATTAAATTAATATGTTCTTTGACAGTTTGAAGAATCTGTTGGCGTGTTTTCTTCTCTTTTTAGCTATATGCATTTACCATACCGTCTCACTCGTGTTAGGCTCACTCATCATAATGCGCCACAGACACACTTAGGTATACTGTGCCACAGAGATGCAATCAGCCAGAGGACAATGATGTACCAAAAAATATAGATTAACACGTATGAAAATAAAAATATTAAAATTAAACTTATATTTTTATGCAATTTTAAAATAATGTGTTTTTATGAAATTTAACTGGGTGTTCACTGCACAAATAAACCAATGGAGAAACCGCCCCTGATTAGAAGTTAGTTCTTTAAAAATAGAATATCGTTTCTTTAAAGGGAATTGAATTTGATTTAAATAATAAATAATAGGATATAGTTCTTCAAAATTGTAATACCATTGATTTAGACATTTTGTAGTTAGTCTGACCTAAGAAATTAAACTTTTCTTTTTGGTAGGTTAAATCGGGAATTAAATTTGATTTCATTGATAAATACTTTTGTTTAGTAAGTGCCGCGTTATAAATACGTTGGGAATAATTAGAAACAGAGTTATTAAATTATTTACAATGTTATTTATGTGTTTATCCCATTTCAAATGAGAATCTATATGAATTCCTAGATATTTAGCCTCATGTTTGAGGAAAATATTTATTTGGTGTCCATGATTTATGATTGTAAGTTTATTCAATTTAGGAAGACCTGTTTTATAGCTTGCAAATGGAATGGCTAATGTCTTATCCATGTTTATTGTTAATTTGTAATGCGAAAACCAATCAAACACATTTTTTAAAACATTTTCACAAAGTTCTTTAACTGCGTCCCAAGTTTTAGCCGAGTATAAGATTAATGTGTCATCCGCAAAGCTTATTACTTCTCTTTTTATTTCTTTTGAAGCCAATAATTTATTAATATATAGGAGAAATTAAATTGGCCCGAGTATAGTACCTTGTGGGACACCATATTTTATAGGTTTATAAGAACTTACATATTTATTTATTTTTACTGCTTGAACCCTTTCACTTAAATAACTAGAGAAAAGGTCCAAAGATTTACCTCTGACACCCACTTCCTCTAAGACCTCCAACAGCTGCATATGACATACAGTGTCGAAAGCCTTTGCCAGGTCAAGAAAAATACACATTGTGGGAACGCTTTTATCTATATTACTGTACAATATATATGTTAGATGACACATAGCATCAGTGGTAGATAAGCCGTTTTGGAAACCACATTGCTTTGAACTTATAATATTATATTTATCAATGTATTTAGTTAGTCTATTTTTCAAAGCTTTTTCCACGATTTTTGATAAAGTGGTAATTAAGGAAATAGGTCTGTAGTTACTCATTTTATTTTTGGGTCCTTTTTTATGAACTGGGATAACCACTGATTTTTTAAGGTCAGTGGGAAAAATTCCTGTTTCAAAAATTTTATTAATTAAATGACTAAGGGGATTTGCAATCTCATGAACTATTTCCTTAAATATCTCACTTTTTAGTTTATCATACCCTGGTGTTTTGTTTATTTTTAACGATTTTATAATTTCTTTTACTTCATTTATATCTACAGGTTCTAAAAAGAATGACTGTATTGTGCTATGTTTTCCAGGTTTGGGCGATAGTGGACGAATTATTTTTGAGGCCAGTTTCTCTCCTACTTTGGAGAAATACATATTAAAGCTTTCGGCCTGTTCTTCCTCGCTTATAAGAATTTCATTACTTTCAGTAAGTATTTTTTTTATACTATCTTTTTTCACTGGTACATCAATTTCCCTAACTATTTTCCACAAATTTTTATTATTATATTTATTTTTATTTATTTTATTATTATAAAATTTTTTTTTAGTTTCTTTAATAATTCGATTTAGATTATTTCGATATTTAGTATATTTTAAAAGGGTAGTGGGGTTCTGATTATTCCTATATTCGTTAAATAACATGTTTTTAGTGGCAATTGAATTTATAATACCTTGCGTTATCCAATCTTTTCTTTTAATCTGGGTCCGTTTAATTTTTTTGACATTTGTACAAAGTGCGACACTTTGACTAAGTAGTTTAACTAGGTGATTTGTTTTTATATTTACGTCATTTAAGTTATAGAAGGGCGTCCAATCATGACTATTTAATTTTTGTATTAGGGCGCTGTAGTTTATATATTCAACCAAATTTTTGCGTTCATTTTTAAATTTACAGTTAAAATTTAATTTTAATCCTATTATAGTTGCTTTGTGATCTGTTATCATAGCATTGTTACGTTTCGTTTTTGTCACAGTCTCCTACAGCACTATTTTCGCAAACTCCTCGTATAGAATGAGTTATAAATACCTGTTTGTTCGCAATTATTTGTATAAATCTGTTTGTCATATCCACAACCATCTGATAACGCCTTTTCTCGCCGTTTAGTAATCATTTTATTTCAAATAGCCAAATGTTTACCTCATACACATCACTTCTTGGGTGTTTTTCTAATAATTCTTGTGGTATATCCTATTAAATCACGTTCATTAGTAACTGTACCATCGGATAATATATTAAAACAGAGGTTATTATTTACTTTTCCACTGACAGATATCAGCTGTGCGTTTTGGCAACTAACTCAGCTGTCATGGGTCGAAGGCTTGGAATTTTCGAAGTTCGATTTTTGCGAATCAGTACCGACCCGTGCGGATAGTGTAGAGCGGATTTTCGGTCGAGGCTATTGTCTTGTGCTGACTGTGGATTTATTTCGATCTCTGTTCGAGAGTTTGTGAACGAATCAGGATACCTCATTCTTGTTGTTGGTTAAGTGGTTCGCGACGGAGTCACGTATTTGGTGTTCCGTGATTTTAACGAATTTGTGACATTTGGTACTCCTGTTTCTGTGACCCTGTATTTTTGTTTTATATATTGGTAAGCATGCGTTGGTTCCTTTTTTTTTTTGCGTCGTGGACGAAAGGTTGAACAAAAATAGTGTTCAGTGATTTTTAATAGAGTTTCAGATTTATGTGACATTTTCATTGGTCATCCATGGTGGGATTATTCTGAAACCTATTTATTAGACCAGGAGAATTTTATGCCTAGGATTTAGTTGGATATTTTTGGAAAATTCTTTTGGTAACCTGTTGAAGGGATATTAATTACTGTCCATCATTTAGCGTTCAGGTCCAATTTTATGCACATGGCTCAATTTTTGTAAGAAAACCCCAAATAGCTCTAGTTGGGTATGTATTTAATTATATTTGTTTTTCTATGTTTAAATTGGCTCGAGTAAGAGCATATTCCTACCTGTTTATAAGTATTTAATGAGAATTTCATTACAGCAGGGGGGGCTGTTAAATTTTATATCATTAAAGATACACTTATACTGTTAAGTGTCTGGGGTTTAGTTTATCTGTAACATGTTATTCACTTGATGGTCTTTTTAGGGTTTTTGTCTTTCTATAAGTTCTGAGGAATGCAGTGAGTACGCCGTTTTGTCTTGGATTTATGATTAGAATAAGGAGATTCCTGACAACGGATATTTGACTTGGATTTCTATTCTGTATATGGTTTGTCTCGTTTTGGTTTGCCAGTAGCTTATTCTCGTAGAGCTGAAGCTGGACTGTATCATTGTGGGTATCAAGTGGCAGTTTGAAGTATACAGTTGCCAAAAACCACCAACTGTCCTATCTGACAGTTTACCTAATCGTCAGACTAGTGAGTAAACAACCAACGTCCAAGTGAGGTATTTATAGTTTAATTAGCCTTCAGCAACTTGTTTTCATCGGTTGAAAACTGAGTGAGCGATACCAA